ATTGAAACGCTTTAAATGGGTTGCGTGGTTCAGATTTTCGCAAGCAAAAACAAGGTCGGGTTATATGTGCAGGGGGGAGGGGAGGGTTGTCCATATAACCAGTTCAATTGGGCTATATGGACATGCAAAATTAAAATTCAAACTCACGCCACTACTTTATGTATAATTTTCAGCGAACCGTATCGGATGTGAATATTTCTTTATGATAGAAAGTACCCTCCACGAATATTTTAATTGTAGCTGGGGTACTTAGGTTAGGCAATAACGTACCGTAGTGTTTAAGGCGTCCATATAACCCATCGTCCCCTCACTCGTGCAGCTAGAAAAGAATTATTCGGAGTTCTTTGCATCATTCTGCTGCTTCCCATGACACCCTGAATCATCAACGCCCTTAAAGAAGTGTACCAACAGGTCCAATACTGATGTGAGAAGAGCTCGTTGCAACTCAAGGTAGATATGAAATCGTCCTGATATACTCTGCAAAAATGATAGCCATGGAAATTGCTTACGTGCATAGTATACCTAGGTATTATGCGCGTCGTACGTAAGAACGCCATGAGATTCTAATAAACTGATCATTGGACGGTTCAGAGGGAGGAGGGGGGTTGACAGGTTTCGACAGCACTGAAAGAGTTAAAACGACACCCAGATTTAAACGAAATTTTCATTCTGTGAGCCAGATGCTATCACTTCCTGCGCACGAGTGGCATTTGGTTGGAAAAACGTTACAGGTCGCCTGGATCATTACCATTCGGATAATGGTAATCATGGTAATTTTCAGCCTCGTCGTAAGAAGATCACCAAAGCCATGGTTTGTTCGTGGAAAGGAAAATCAATTATCATATGTGCGTTAAGGATCTGACAAGCTACAGTTATCAGATGAACGTTATCAGGCGAGCTACAGCTAATTTGAAACGGTTCATACGTATGAATTACATATACTGTGCAATTCATGCTGGCTTTTTAGGCTCGCATTATCACGAAGTGAGTCATTTGGAGCCAAATAATGACGAGGAGTATAGAGAGCCCCATGGCTCGAATTCTGGAGTAGCAGAAAAAGTACCGGGGTGGATCCGGAGGGTATCGGAGTACAAATAAATTAACATTCGAGAGAAGAGAGGAGTCTGACGCTAAAAAGATGGTGCAAATGCGACCATCATATCGTCGCAGGTCTGGCAAAATGGCGAATATGCAATCAAATTTTCTCGGGAGGGCAATAATTTCCGCAGAAGAATCAATATTGAGGAATGATTGCTGCTTCACCAAAGAGTTCGGATTCTCTCTCGTACGAAGGAGGATCTTCCTCAAAAGTTCCTTACATTCGAAGCACGGGCGTATTCTTATCCTCGTGAAAAATTTTTAAAGTTGCGTATTTGTCATATTGCGACGATATTCGAGATGTTAGATACGAACGAGCCTGCTGTGTCACTCCAGACATTCCAGCTTAGGGACTGCAGAGCATTATATTGCAGGTTCTTACTTCTTCTCAAGAATCCTCTGTCCCTCTATCCTCTGAATCGCGAGACTCTTCTGCTTTTCAACGGCTTTTTATTTCTATAGTCATTCAAGAATAATAATAATAAAAAGGACCACGACTGGAAGATCGTTCTGGCCTCGTTCCGCCCTTGCGTATCTGCAGTGAAGTCGATTCCGAAACTCCGCTCTCCCTCGAGGCACGATACCATCTACGTGTTCAATCCGGCAATTTTTCTCGGCAAGAAAACCTCAGTTTTTCTTCTTTCTGGGATCTTCATCCTCTCTGCTTCTTCACGTCGAGGGAGCCGATGAAACTTGGAGGCTTTGAGGTCACGGCTGTTTCCAGAGTCGGAATGATTTTGCTCGAGAGTATTCAAGATTAGGCTTACTGAAAGAGAGGCTGCCAATAGAGCGAGAATTCATCGGGAACCTTGTGATCAACAGGATTCTTTGCATTCGTCACTAGATATGACAGTCGTTTCAGGACCGAGAAGATGCGTCATTTTGGGAATGAGCCAAAGTCGAGATTGAAGACGATTCGGATCACAAAAATGTAGATGAAGTTGAAGGGTTCACCCCCCCAATTGATGCATCGACGAAAATCGAGAGCGCCAAATCCAATCGTGGCTCCAAGATGAACCATGATTCAAGAGGTGATGAATGAGCCGTGTTCGTCGAGGAAGTGGACAGCATTCGACAATTGAAACTCATAGAGCCATTCCTCGGGAAACAAAAACAATGAGCAGACTCACAACCACGTTGCCTTCAAGCAATCAGCGCCGTGGCCCGTGCCTTTGAACACGACGATGCTCAGGAAGCACTCAACTATACTAACTCAGCGATCATTTTCGCTTGGCGCGATGATTCATGCCCGAAGGGAAGTACCACGTCCACGCAGCAGAAGAAAGGAAGAAAGGGAAAGGGCAATCCACTGGGACGAAGCACGGGATCATGACGTTCATTTTTGCTGCGAACCGAGCCTGCATGCGCGTGAGCCAAGACCGTCTCCGGCCTGGATGAGTGTCCTGTCACCTGTGGATCAACGTTCAAAAATGCTTCAGAAAGTGAGTCAGAGAACGCTACTGGAAAGGAAAACCAAATGCAATAGGAGGTATCGTAGGTGAATGAAACGTATTAATTCAAGATTCAAGATAGTTAGTGATATCAAGAGGCGATTTCGCCCATTTCGAATCAAACTGGAAAAACCTACCACACTCGACATTATCTATTCCTTTAATTGTCTTGAAAGCCTGGATGAGATCGCTCCTCCTTAACCTTCGTTCGATCAATTACGAGAGACAGAGTTTCATTCAAAGAAAGAAGAAAAGAATGGTATTTCTACCTGTTTCCCCATGTTTATTCAATATCGTTCAATACAGTAAATAAAATTAATTATAAATAATTTGAATCCTGTCCAGAGCAGTCAAGTTGAACATAGATAATTCTTAAGTTTCCGATGCCGGAAGTGACTGTTGAATATGAAATCCTCTTTCAAATCGCAGGTGCCTAAATATATGCCCAGCTGCGACTCTATGAAGTTTTTTATCATGAATAATAGGGAATATTAGAACGGAACATAGACATGTTCGAGATTTAAAGGAAAAATCCCTTCGCTTATAAATTATGCTCATCACAATTTGACGTCTTGAATTCTTGAGACTAATTCAAGTAATGTGCCATTTGGTAAGGTGGTTCAATTGTTTTCTAGACTTATATGGGATGTCAGTACCTAACCAGGGTTCAGATCGGTATCCAAAAAGTTACTCTTACCGTTACTCGTTGCTTTAATAAATATTTAAGTATTTGGCACTATCAGTTACTTTTTTCAATAAGTAACTGTCGTTACTTGTTCCTTGTTTAAAGACTTCGAATGATTCGTAAATGAGACGAAGAGACGAACTTGAAGCTACCATGGAACGATCCCGTTTCTCTTCTAGGGCATGGTGATACTTAAAGGCGCCAGGCTTCAGCTCTCAGTGGTTGCATCAGGTTCAGCCAGAAATCACAAATGAATGGCACAGGGACACAACAAGAAAACTCTTAGCCAAAGGGCTGAGCGAACTAACCGAATCAGAGGATCGGTCCTACCTTGATCCCGATCGTTTCAACCTTAGTTTCCCCCCTGGAAGGCACATGCTTTCTGTTCTTCATTATCATTTCTCGATGCTGATGATAGCGGAATTGCAATCGTTAGCAATAACATCGTCTTTTTCCACGGATATTCGGAACCCGTTACCCTTCGTTACGCCTGGGGGCAAAGGAACGAGCCCACTTTTCTCGTTACAGAGTCTGGTAACGTCTTTACTGTATCGCATGACTATGCAATCCTGTATCTATTATTTCCATTCTTGATGGTCAGCAAATTATTTATGTACCGAAGAATGAATTTGAAATCCTTAGGAGTAATGGTACCCAAGTTAATTCATAGTAGAAAAAGAAAGGTTGGTCATATTCGTTGAGCAAGAGTTAGTAACAGTGAAAACTCATTGCCAATGCTATAATATTTTCCAAATTTACAGCCAAAGGTATCCTATCAAAGTAAGCAACGAGGCCTCCATGCAGCAGAGCCAATGGATTTTTTGTAATGTTCTGAAATAGGTTTTGCGCAACAATTTTTTAACAGCGTGATGTAGACGACAGTTGAGGTGCGTAATGTATCTTAAAATCAAGGGTAATACTTCCTTCTTTCAAGAGGGAATTCTTAAAAAATTGACTTCCATGAATGAAGTTGCTATATAATTTGCCCAAAATTATCGAAAGCGATGTTGAATGTACTCTCCCTGCTTCGACAAACGTCATCAGCCTAGCGCGCCAAGAATCACCCGCTCCAAGCATGTCATCATATCGTCTTAAAGTTCGAATCCTTGCGTAATCATAATTTATTTTTACTTTCGTGCCGTAAATATATTTCTAGCGAAAGAGTCTTAATGGCATTTCTTTGAAATGCATTATATCCATATATCCAAAGGCAGTACTATTTATCTTCGATGTTACATGAGCGCCTTAAAGCTATCAGATGAAGAAGATGAAGGGGGCTCACTTTGGACCCGTATGAACAGCCAGTTTGTATGCATATACAGGCTAAAAGTGACAGGCGTGCCACTTCTAGCACTAGAAAATTTCATTTTATTGTTCTTGCTTTTTCTTGTTTCATTGTTCCGTTTGGGAGAACACTGTGTTTATATCTTTGTTTTCATCTTAGACAATCGTTAAATTTGTGCGTCCCTGAAGATGCCATATATAACTGAAAAAGTGAAAACTGCAGCTTGGGCCATTACATTCGAAAATGATTGTGGAGCAGAAAAAAATTAATGCGTTTTCAAACGTTGAGTAATCTGCACTACATTTTACTCGTCGTTGGAAAGGAATTACAGTACTGAAAACCGGAAGCATGAATGAGAAAAACGTCCTGACACGCAACATCCAGCTAGTAGCGATGCCAATGCTGAACTGATGTGATGGGGCCTTCAGGTTACCGCAACGACCTAAGTCAGTCTAAATCTCTGGAGGTATTTGAAGGAGGTTTATTCATGTGGAGTCACATCATTACTAGATTGGCTTCGGGCTAGATGCAACACAACCAGAGAAGATTCAAGGAGCATATTTCCTCTGTCACTCGTCGTCATCAATTGCAGTAGGTCATCAATTTGAATGAAGTTTGTGAAACAGCTTCAATATATGAAAGATATTCTGGGACACCCTTTATATTCCAAGTGGAACAAAGAAATGCAAATTTGACTGACTTGTTTCTTACCCACACAACCAAGACACAAACTTTCAGTAAATAAATTTAGTATCCTCTCTGTGAAATAAACATATGACGAATCTGGCATTCCTATAATCGGTTCAATAAGCATCAAACAGGACGCCTTTTTTGGGCTACCTGTTATTCATCCCTTGTCTGTACCTGAACCAGGTTGATAGGTTTTCCATGAAAAAAAATTAACATTTACAAGCGTTGCAAAACGTGAATTGCCTCTAAATTCTAGGATTAATGTAAAAATTCCAACTTTTAGGAATGGTTTCTGAATTTTCTGAGAATTTTTGCTATTGATAATAGACATGATGTAAGCTTGTGTGCATGTGTATGCATAAAATTATTGAGCTTAAATTTAATATCATTAACTCTGGCTTGCCCAGATGTTGCATCTGGTGATATTTTGATGTCTTCCAGAACCTAAGCAGGAGAGTCTAATGCTTTGCTTGAAATAATTGGAAATTAGAATTATGGCATACTTGTGCACTATGGTACTACCGGAATGAACTACATAAATTAATTTAAAAATTGTCGGGTCTACAGCCAGGATACCAGAAATGTAGCAAGTACTCAACATAATGGGGCAGCAGTGCTAAAAGAATAGCAACCGTAGTACTGCATGGTCAGGACTGAATAAAAACACTTTCAAAGGCACCACTCTTTATACATTTGCAAATTTTTGGATAAAAAACATGGATATCAAAACTATTTGTGCCATAAGAGCATAGTATTCCCACAGAGAGGTAATGATGCCAACTATTCTTGTGCCCAAATAATATTTTGGAGGTTCTAGATCAGAGGTGCTCAACTAGTACATGGATAGGTGCACTAAACTGATGTCCTGAGAGTCTGGTGGGCCAGAGGTAAAATTCCAATGTGAGAGCTCACAATCATGATAGGATAAAAGTGAGTTTAGGATATTTCAACAGGTAGGATAAGCTATGGAATTTGTTGGATGGCAATGCGAATGAAATGAATGGGATTTTTTTCAGAACAAAGGGAGGAGGACTGTTGAAACCTGTAAGACTCCCCTTGATGCTTTCTTGCTATCAGGCTATTAATGCTTTGAGGGAAAATATAGGCAGAGAGGCTAGGAAAGCAGACAAAAAACTGCAGAACAAGGCAGGGTCTGTGGTCCAGATTTGAACAGCAGTCCCTAGATTGAGCACACCTGTTCTAGATAAAGGACAATTGAACTTAGCATTCACAGATATAAGGAATGTAAGAGATCAAAATCATTATGAGATCAAAACCAAGAGGAATATCTTCTACCCATCAGCTACACAAAACATGCATCACCTGGAGAGCAAAAGAGGCCAGAAAGGTGGCCACCCTGCTATGTATGATTCTAAGATTTCATTAGCAGAATATCCCTAGTGGCACATAGCATTGAATCAACAATTGAATGTTAGCCCAATGCTTTGTGTTATTTGGGTCATATTGGAGACTTCTCACTGCTGAAGGTCTGGAGCTGCAGTAGTCAGGCTTAAATCCTGTCAACTGAAGCATCCTCACTAACACATCTATCACAGATGATTCCTAGCTTTAGCTTTCATTGTCCAAATACATGACTAGATGAATCTGTAGCATGAGACTAGATAAGGATATGCTGATATAAAGCTGATATAAATGCATGAAAATGTGAGACATATATCAGTTGAGAATAGTGCTGTCCTCACCAGAAAAATCTACTCAAAATTTACCCTTGTTTCCCATTTAAAACAGGAGACAAGCACACCTGACTTGTTAACTAAAAACCCCTAATTCTGCTATATTATATGACTAGATATTTAACACAGCTGATATAAATTGTCTCATATACCACAGTCATGACTATACCCCTATAGATGATTTCCAGATTTCCTATCACATGCATGAAAAACAGGGAATGCAAAGGGAGGAAATACATATGCACACTCAAAGGAAAAATCAATAAAACAAAGAATGCAAGGTTATGGAAGCAGAAGGAAGTTAGCATACACAGTGTAAATAAAACTGATATCTAGAATCAATCATTTCCATACACTTAATCTCCAGCCATTTGAGCCATCAATTTACATCAGCAAGACCAGAGTCATATTATACCAGTGAATTCCTGAGAAATGCACAATAAATCAAACAAATGCCATAATAAGGTCATGCACATACACAGGACATAAGATGCATTGACATTAGAATGTGGGCTAAAACAAGGAGGAATATAAGAAGGAAAATATAGTAAGACAGTAGTGTAGACATCCCTGAAGTGGCATTCTGGAAGTGGGTCCTTCTGAAGATCACAGCCATTCATTCTAAATGTCAGGCAAAACATTTCCCAGTAAAACAAACTGGACTAGCCCAGTCCAGCAGCAGACTATTCAAAAATTGGGAACAGGAGGAGAATAATGCAAGTTACATAGAGGTTTGAGCATGAGAGGAAAGCACAAGTAGGTTGCCAGATGTGGCATTGGTTATGTTTGGCTAATAACCTATCCCCACTATCATGTGCAGTGTAACTCTTTTAACACTAGATCAGTCAGCTATAAAGGCTGACAACTAGTCAACAACATGATGACAACCATGGCTGAGGACTGCGCATGAGCATTGCATGACATTCATCACAAATTCAGATCATTATTTACAACAGAGGAAATATTCAAATGTAAAATTTAAGATGAGTCAGCTTTTCCCATGAATTACACCACATACCATATGAACTCAACTTGTACCTCACCTGAACCTGTCTGCATTCCAATTTTCACAGTTATGAAAGCAATATTTTCTAGCTATCAACAAAAGGAATAAAACATAAACAGCCAAGCAAAATAGGAGCATAAATGACATTATTTTTATTATTTAAAAAAAAAATCCTCACCACCAAAGTTAGTAGAAAAAAATTTGGGTTACCAATTGAAAACATCAAAGTAGGAGTATTCCTTTTCCTAAATTGTTTCCTTACCACAAAGCCTGCATCCATGATTATTTCAAAATTTAGGCCTTCCTTTCATGATCTAACCCCTCCTTGCTGGCACATTCAACAGCTGCATGGAATTGAACTAAGATTTCTGTACAGGTCACTGAATGGCCTGTGCACTTGACCAGGAAACAACTCTGAGGACTAATTTTACACCCAACCTGGGAAACCAGATTTCTGGTCACAGGTCACAAAAGCATAAGGAACCTAATTTAATTTTAATTATTTTTTTTCCTGATCCATTCATCTCAACAAGAAACGCTCAAAAAACACCTTTTTGGTGCTATCAGGAATGTGCATGATATTGAACACCATCACACAAGAAAACCACAAATTTTAAAGGGAAAATGACTTAGAAGTCTTCATCGGTATCCTTGCTACTCTTGCTTTCAAAATCTGCCCCTGCAGGCAGCAGCATTTCGCTTGCTACTCCTTGTTGGTGATGGATGCAACTGTGCCATGGTTGCTTTGTAAAAAGTGATTCAAAACTATACTAATACTCAAGGACTTGCTCAAAATTGGATGGGGGTTATGCTCAAAAAAGGGGAAAAAAATCAAAAGCATTTAATTGTTTTGGAATTTTTTTTGGCCTAGTTACAGATCACTTAGAGATCCATCCAAATAAATTTCACCGAAAGCAACTGCTGTAGAGGGAGCTGCAGGTGACTAGGTAATTTATGCTTTCACAAATTGTCAATCAATACAGTGGCTGACTTGAGCCCAAGTACTTGTCTTCAAAGTCTCCATCCTCAGCAGATTTACCTCTTGCAAAGTGTGTACCAGTTCTGGAGAGAAAGAAACTGATATTGATGGTTCAGAAATCCTCATGTGAATACACAGAAGGCAGAAGTCACACAGTAGGCATCCCCTTTGTGTGACCTGTTGCATAATCTGAGTACTAAGTCCATGTAGTTGTTGAATGCACCCACTAAGAAAATTACTCAGCACTGCTACAAATGGCAATATTTTTTTGGCATAAGACTATGAATACTGATTTCACTTACCAGAATGTGCAAGTTCCAGGAAGTATGTAAGATTATGGCAGGAAGCATACAAAATCAAGGTGGAAGACATAACACAGAGAGGAATTGTAAAATGGAATGTCTGGAATCAAAATATATGTCAGGGATTATACATGAATGAGATACACCTACATCAATAAATCATTCAAGTCATGATGGCAAGATGAAGGAGGCTCATGTAGAGACTATATATTACATTTCTAAAAAAAAATATAAATTAAAGACATGGTCTACCAAGTACAAACTACAAAAACCATGTATGTGTCAAAAGGTGAGGAGAGGCACAATGCCAAAAGCCCCAAAAAGTTTTGCACTGTACCTTGTCTATATGTGAGCAAGAGGTGTTGCTTCCCCATCATGAAAAATGGATAAAATACTATAATACTCTACCCTACTATCTGCGAAGGGAAAAGACAAGGTTATATGGAGCAGGACTCCATGTAACAGCCAGAACACCATCAGGGTCAGGGGTTTCACCTTCTGCCAGACTGATAGTGAACCTCTGCATGATACCAACCAGAAAAACAAACAAAATTTGCCTTGCAAGCACTTCCCCAACACAGCTCCTCCGACCTGTAACAGGAAATAACAATAACTTTCTTGCAATCTACAATACTTTCTTCTTAGAAAATGATCAAGATGTCACATGCCAACAGAAAAGGGAGTGAGTGCTGCTGGTTTGCAAAATTTTCCTTCATGATTGAGGAAACGCTGTGGATGGAAATCATTGGGTTGCTCCCAGTCATCAGGATTCCGCAGAGCCCCCCAAAGATTTCCAATGACCCATGTTCGAGGTGGAAATGAATATCCTAGACATTGAGCTGCATATGCATTAGTGTGTCCAACAACAGGAATTGGAGCAGCAAGGCGAAGAATCTCCCACATACAGGATTCTGAATATGGAAGGATGATTCTATCTTCAAAACTGCAACATGAAAGCAAATTCAATCAGCAATCAACATCCCTTCTGACTCCTCAAACAAAGGCAGAGGAGGATTTGATTAATCATATCACAATCATGAAAATACCTTGGCATTTCATCTCTTGCAAAGTGTGCATCAATCTCTGACTGCATTCTCTTTTGAGCTTCGGGGTGAGTGGCAAGTTGAAGCAGACCCCATCTCACTGCAGCAAGTGTGGGATCAACCCCTCCCACAAGGAGATCTCTCATCACAACCAATAACTGGGTCTCTATTGGAAGTGAAGACAATGAATGCATGAAAACCGCAGTTAACACGTTGACGACCAGCCTATTTTTGCTTGTCTGCCGCGTGGGACCACGCGCATTTTTTTTGTCAAAAAATGCGTCCTGCCATCAGGACGCATGGTCCCAGAAAAATTTTTTTTTGCCGAGTATTTTTAAAATGTTGAATTTTTTGGAATTTTTATCAGTAATTACAAAATCATAATCTTCTGGAACGTTCTCAACAGTTCCAGAGGGTATTCATTGAAAAAAAATCTGCATCCTGGCATCAGGACGCATTGTCGCCAACGTGTTAATAGTGGTGAAGCTTAGGGAGACTTTCAAAATGCTTCCTAACCCAAAAGAAATCAAACAGCTACATTAATTGCTGCTATCATCCAATATGTTATTATAATCAAAACAAAGTTCCCATTATAAAATTCCCTGAAATGGAGTTGGAAATATAACTCAGTATTAAATACATTGAATTTTGCCAGCAGTTCTTTTTTTTTATGCCTTTTCCTCTACTTTGTATGCAATTGATACAATTATCCCTTCTTGTTACATGAGACATTTTTGAAAGTTTATTTTCTGGATTTAAATTTGTTCTCACTGATGAAGTAGCCCATGAGTGACCTCCTTGGAAACAACTTTCTTACAACCCAATGGTTTGGAAGGATAACCTCCCTTCCATGGCTCTCCCATACAATATTCAATAGCAGAACTACCACAAGGTCACCCAGTGTCATTCCAATTGCCCAAAATCATAGTCATCCATGCAGGAAATATGCAATCACTTGTGTAGACCTAGCAAACTTTGGGATTCAACTATTTAAATTTTCAGTTTTCCCAAAACACCTGCTTCTTTTGGATAGTTGCCAGTCACATTGCAAGGGGTTTTCATAAACAACTACAATTTCATTTCTGTTAAATTAAGGAATATGAAAGAAAAATGGAAGGAAGGATGATGTCTGTGCTTTACTCCAAGAAATGTATGATTTGATTCCACCCTTTTTCTTCCCACTGGGCCCATATAATATCTGTGATATATGGGAACCCATCAGTTTATTAGGTTCATTCTATAGATGAAACAAAAGTCTGAAATAAGTGCATGATTGCACCTTATGATTTCAATACTAAGAAAATAAAGTAAGGCTATTTTGTGCCCCTGACAGCTGCGTTGACTTCTGGTAAAAAATTTAGCTATGTTGGAAGAACCCGTATTTCCTCAAACATAACAGCACAGACATAAACATTAGGCCTACTGGAAAGGGAATGTCATTTTCTCTCTAAAGAAAGGAAATGATTTTTTTTAAGGAAATGAAGCTTATAAAAAGCCACCATGTATGGATACAAAAACTAGCTAAGAACAGTTTGTAACACCATGATGAAATACCTTATGATACACTTATCTGGGTTTCATCAAGAAGTGCATGCGGACATGATCAAATGCATGCTTATCTCAATTATAGCACTTGAGTAAAGCCAAGACAGGAATGATCACCATCTGACTAATTATGAATGAGACTTCATTTAAAAAAAAAGGGGAAAGGTGAAATGGAAGCAGTTACAGTTACAAGAAAATTAAAGGAGGAGTCTAGAAACTACAGTAGCTGAGCAGTGAGAAGAGACATTCCAGTTCCTTGCAATGCATCACAAATGAGACTGAGGCTTACCTGACATATGACCAATGACTCCCTTCTGCTCCTTTGCTTCCATTTCCCTGAGGTAAGCCCCAGCCAAGCCTCCTCCTGATCGCTTCCTTCTGCCATCAGTGGAGATCTTCTGTAAATGAATCTTGGCAGTTCCCAAAAGCGAGTGCAAGAAATTCTGGATTTTCATGTATGCCATGAAGAGTGATGGGAGGAAATTTGTGACAGCCATTGCGAATATGCTGGAAGAAAATAAGGGATTCCTGAGGACTGAACAAACTTAAAAGGCTTATAATTGGGGCTAACATTTTTTAGATCTTCATTTACTGATATAAGTACTCGCAATTCAATCAGAAAAATAAGCTTACCGACCATCCTCAGATATACAAAGGTGATTAAAAAGTAAGTATCCTACTAAGGAATAGGACAGTGTCATTGCACAAGTATGAAAGTAAAAAGGGGGAAATCAATTGCAGCACTAATCATATATTGCCATAAGGTTGCCACTATTGCATAATTTGCATATCACCCAGAAATGCTACAGGAAAAATCATATAATCAGGCTGATGTATTGGACAAAGCAGTATGCATAATGAAGTTGACAGAAGTATAGAAAGGGCAGATAGTGAAGGCAGGTCAGAGGAATGTTACTGACACACTTTGGTGAATATACGCGTATCCTACAACTCTCCACGGTCACAAAGTTCCTCAGAACTGACTCCTGCTGATTTCTGGTCATGGAGTCACTCAAGAACATGTACCTACACAGGCAAGCTGTGCAGCCATGCCTGACCTGAAGAATTTGATCAAAAGAGATTGCCTGGATACTGGATGATATGAGGTTGGCAGCAGTAATGGCCACAGTTACATATATGTAATGGTGGCATGCCAGTAACAAGATTTTTAAGTGCTGCAATTGATTCCCCATGGGTCATTTGTCATACATTGTCCCATGGCACCATCCTACACCTTATACTTTAGGTCCTACAGTCCTCTGAAATGGAATACTTCTTTCACCATCACTTTGTATATTAGAGTTTTACCAACGGCAGTCTTCAGCAGATCGGCCAATAGCCAGTTATGATCTTACAGACACCAACCTGTGCCAGTATCAAGTGTGACAAATAGGGAAGGGAGGGGGAGCCAAAAAGTTTATATCCAATATTCTTCACTGTATAATCAACTTTTTTTCATCCTAGCTAATGAGATTCATTACAATGATTCTCTGTACCAGTTCTTGCTCAGGGAGAAGCAGGAAGCACAGTTTTATAGGAAAAGGTATGGCAGGATGGCCAATGCCATCATTTGAGGCAGTAATGACAGCAGATGTTTGCTAAATCACATCCTTGCAAAATATTGATTTTCAGTAAACGAGACAAAAGAAAAACATTATTCCTGCCAGAAAGTGCAAAACCTGGGTATTAGGCCTACATGTTCTTGGAAAACAGGAGAACTCCAGCAAAATGCCCATGCCAGCATTCAATTCGACACAGGTATCAGTTGCAATGAGAGATTTCTGTGCTGGATCTGGTGTTGGCTTGCATTCACAGGCATACATGTGTGCCTCTGTGGGGCAGTGGAGGGCATTTGCATCAGCCAGTGTTAAAATTGGCCAATGGCGGCAAATTCTGAACGCATGCATTGACAGAACTGATTACAAACCTAAACTTAGAAATTTATAGAATTTAGGATTGACAAAAATATATTGACAGGAGAGCCAGAATTTGAGCAGGCATGGATGATTCCATTGACATTTTTAACTATCACCAAAAAAGGTTGGACTACTCATCACATCCTTCTTCAGAACTCTGCCATAAATCACTTGCATATGAGCTCAAAATAGCAGGGTATGGCAAAAAAAAACTCATGCAACTTCTCACTAATAAATGTATGTTCTTACTGTTGCTATTTCCACAAAAATTGCACCATGCATAGGCTGACATGTTGAAACTAGTGAAATTTCACTAAAATTCGCTGTCAAAGCATGCTACAAGGAATTATTCAAAATGAGTTAGATATTGAAAATAGACAAGAGCCCATGCTGATAGTTGAAAGGAGGAAGAGTCTTTGTGCTATGGATGTATAAGCATGGTCAAGTCATGTTGCATGAGCTGAAGTCCCCTGTCCATTCTGATTTTCCAATTTCTTTTCGAGAATCTTTCATAAAGTTAAAATAGCAGAACAGGACTACCATGAAATTTCAAGGAGATGTTGTAAACATATCAGTCTATGCATAATGCAAGTTCCATAATAATGGCTCCAGTGAGTGAAGATGTAAAAGCTAGAATTTGTCTTTTTTTTGCCATACCCTGTATATTTCACCAGCTGGATGGTTTCTCCTTCTTAAAGATTTTCTACCTATTACTGTATTGTATTGTATAATAAACGTCTCAGAATCACTGAGAAAACCTATTCTCAGGAGACCCATCAGCCAATATATTTGACTAATTCAGTGGACATTTTGCAAGCTTCAATTTTTTACTTGAAAATTCCCATGTTGATAGAAACGTTATCATAGAGCATGATTTTAGTTTTGATAAATAGTCAATATAGCTATCATATAATCTGTATGAATCCAACCTTTATCGAAATAAAACACCTCATTTAAAAAAATTAAGTCCATCTAATACACATACAATGAATTATAGGAATAATAATGTTTTCATTTCTTATTAACTGCCACAGAACCACATTTCTCTTGCTTGGGTTGATACTTTTTCAGTCACGTAATTTAGAGCAGGCAGGATAAGCACTGATTTAAAAATACTAAAGTGGGAAACTGATCTTAGGAGTCACTTTTCCCTATTTCTACTCCTTCATAGATGACACTGAAACAAGCTCCTATGATGTTCATTCCCCTTGCATAAATCAGATTTTCTTTTCATATGAGACAATTTGAATATGAACTTTTTAATCATGCCTATTGGTGACTGAGACAGTCTCAACAAAAATAAAATTTTCCAACATACTAAGAAGTTTGCCATATAAAGAAATCACTGACCATTGCAATAGGATCTGAATCATTACATTTAAAAAAGTTTAAACATACTGGATCTCAGGGACATAATTGATAGGACCAGCTTGATTGACAACTTTGAGTAGACGATCAATGGATTTCAAGGCTGTTGATAATGAAGCACTGTGAGCAACCCAGCCCTCTCCTGCAAGAAGGCTGCAAACAATATTTCCAATTGCATGAGCAAGATCTTCTTGAGGATCATAGGGAACTCCAGCCCTTATCTGGAAAAGTCAATGTGAGAACAAGTTTTCAACACAAGGAAACAGATTTGCATTGAAAAAAGGTTTGAAAGAAAATGTTCATTAACCCTGATGTGCTTCAATACACATTGCAGTTCTGTTCTGATGCTCTCATCAAGAGCCTGTTTCCCCAAACCCACATGCCTGAAGTGTCTCGCAACAATCTTACGGTTCTCAGCCCATACCGATCCCTCACTGTTGGCCAATCCTGGAAAAATAAGATTTAGGACAAAGACATCAATATGAGATGAATCAAATCCCCCCACCCTCCTAAAATATAGGCCTGTTTTCTCAACAGATCAATGAATTTGAAATTAATTGAAATCCAAGTTCAGTCCTGTATAGAAACAAAAGTACAGACAAGGTGATGATGTATGGCATATGATAGGCCAAGAGCAGGTATAAAGCAAAATCATGAATAAGCAACAACAAATTAGGAAAGGATCAATTTTATGGGATAGTGAGACAGAAAGGTTTCACTGAAAAAAAGGAAAAGGAGCCACAGAGAACAGTTTGGAAGAAAGAGGGTATTGCCAGTAAAGCAACTGTAATATGCAAATTCCCAAAATGACCATGTTGACCAGTAAACTTCCCATGCCTAGTCTGTCACTTGAGAGTCACGACATACAAATGGAGCAAAAACTGTGTAGGAAAAAACAAATATAAAGTTGGCCTTATTGACCATAACTGACTGGTCAATTAACATGTTTTTAATTGACCAGTCACTGACCCATCCCAAATGTAGACATATGCCTTCCTTATTTCTCCCTGTCCTTTGAGCTTCAAGACATATCATACAAGTATTAGCTAAAGGACCCAAGAAGTTATAGGTAGACTTGCATGAGTCCGATTTTTCAGCCTTGTAGTATGAGTGCTGACCACAAGAAGACTATCAGTGTTAAACCAATATAGCTTTTTGTGGTGTGCCAAGCCTGATACTGAGTTGCATTGATCGAGATCAAAGTGGAACCAACTTTTTGATCTTCAAGCTTAATCTTGAACCCAAGATAATCCCAAATCATGATCTGCGAGGAAGTTTTGGATTTAAAATACCTAGTACAGTGGTTTTACAAAGTTCACACACATTCTCAATGTGAAGTATTGTTTTCTTTGAGTCTACCAGCACCAGTGGAACAAATGTTTCCCAGGAACTTATGTATAATATGAACTGGTATTCAGTATATGTCCTTAGAGTCCAAATGCCAGTAGTGCCAGTGCCCTTACATGCATGCAAACACATCACAAACACTGTACAGGGAATTCTCTTTTTTCACCAACAGCAAACAGGGATTGAGATGCTATACTGGACACTAACACAATATGTGAACTAAACCATTAAATCTAAACACTTTTACTCTCTCTAATACTCTAGCAAACACTCTGTTTTTTTTATCTCCGAAAGGACCATTACCAATGCTTCCCTGTCATAGATGTGATGCTGTTTGCTTTAAATAGTCCTTCAAGAATAAAAGATATTGGAGAATTGGTTCTGAGGCTAAAGTTTTGCAATTACACCACTGACCTTTGAAAAGGGGGATAAATTTGCCTTGTTGAATTCATAGAAAAACAAAATCTTCTTGGATCTCTTATGTCTATTCAAGTCATTGATTCAGGCTGACCTCATGAGAAAATTTTCCATAAAACTTTTTCAATATGAAAAATTTTATTCCTGTATTCTTATTATGACTCTAGAAGGCATAAGAATACAGGACAACTCCAATTTCACTCACCTCTACCAAAGTTAGCAAAAGTGAGGAGGAACCCAGGCCGATAGTTGAAGGTATCACCCTCTTGATGAAGTAAATTGTTGAGGGTTGCCGTATCATTTACAACTAACACATCCCTCATTCCTAATCTCAGAGTAAAAATTGGAGAACCCATTTCTATTGAGAGGTCAAGAAGCCTTCTCAGGGGCATTTTTCCACGGAGTAACAAAAGATGTCCCAGAACAGGGACTCCACCAGCAGGATATGGTGGAAGGTGCCAGGTCTTCCCACAAATGCATCTCCGACGAAATATCCAAATGAGACACAGCCCAAGGATCAACAAGAAAAGTATAAATGCCCCAACCATGAATAAATTCTTCACACTTGTACTTAAAATTACAATCAAAATGAGAAATCTGAAAGACAAAGAAGGTTCCAGATTAAATGTCAGTAATCTGATGAATGTAACCAAATAGGCCTGTTCCGCTTACAGTTAACCAAACGTGTCTGGTTAACTGAGTATGAGTAGTCACCTGGAATCCCAATTGATTGGGATTCCTTTTATATATAATACATACCACCCCCCCCCCCCCCCAAACTAACCTAAGGAGGTGGGGATTCCTTTTAAATATAATACATCCCCCCCCCCCCCCCCCCCCCAAACTAACCTAAGGAGCAACACAATATCCCTAGGGGGTACAGTCACCTGGGCAACCCTACACACTGAGTATGGTTAACCGTGTCTGACAGGCAACTGTAAGCGGAATAGGCCTAAATCAAGGTTAGAGGCTAAGGAACTGCTTTCAGGTTATTTTTGTTTAGTGGGCAAAGGGTAGGTATAATTTTATTTTAAAATTTTCATACAGATATTTGAAATTTCTGCTTTCCCTTTTAATTAAAGTAACCAAACTGGGAGAGTTCCCTGTTGTTCTATTGTGTACATTCCTTCACTCCCCATTTCAGTGTGAATCCTAGCTGGAATACAGATAATGGTTTTGTAGGCCTCTTCCCTCTGCATTGCTCTCAAGAAGGAATTATTTCCTTTCAACATCATTGATTTAGCCAGGTGCAGTTCTCTTAAGAAGGCAGATGTAGCTTAGGTGGCATTCCAGACTCCACCCCAGACATGTAATGCCATTCAGAAGAGGGTATGGGGGCTACTACTAATCGGAAACCAAAGTAGCTTCAAAAATGTATACCAATAGAAAGACCATTCATAAATTGCATCACACAAAATATCAGGTTAATCCCAATTAATCTCAGGAGAATGAGGAGTTTTTAACCCACAGGTTTACCACTAATGGGTAGTTTCACCCAGTAAGACTGATTTTGTATTTTGAGCAATGTTATGTTGTTTTATTGTAGCTGAATGTTATTGTTACAGATAAATTGTAACAGAATATACAAATCCATGCATACCCATTCATGGAAAAAATATCTTACACAGGTAAGAGATTAATGTACTGAGATTAAAGTGCTCTGAAATATGTAAAAATCAAACTATGACATGCCACTTTACTCATGGAAAATAGCTTCACACTTCAGAACATAAAAGAATCTTGATAATAAACCCCCTTACATGATCTCGATGATGATTTGACTACAGCTTATGCATAATTTTATCCCAGTTTTAGTTTTAGTTGACTGAAACTAGAAAGAATTTAATTAAGGTTAATTTTCAGGGAACTGGATGTAAACAAAACTGTAAAAGTGACTTAATCTGCCAATTGGACTGTAACTATGAATTATCTCCAATTTTAGATGACTGGAGACAAACTGAAACTATACTGGATGCATTAAATCACTGTAGGTCATCCGCCCACATGCTGCTGGGAAATCATAATGCGACTTCACAGCCCAATCAAATGCAAAATTAAATTGACAAAGAAAAGGGGGAAAGTGGCCTTTATAGGCCAGGTCTGCAGTTCTCTCGAGATTCAATCTTCTTGTGGGGACCGTCCACGGTCTACCAAGAAACAAGCTGGAGCGTTAACGCGAAAGCCACAGCCGACGTCAAATTAATACTTGCAGAAAGGAAGCCGCCATATAGGCCAAGCCCTCACTAGGCTCTTCGTACGTGCTCATGCTCATGCTAGCTGGTCTCGGGTGCCTGCGCCCTAGCAACATTTTCAGAATAGCTTTTTCTGACAGTTGCGCTGCATGTCTTTCAGGGTGCAGCTGTAGGCATTTGCCTTGCATTTGTCAAGACTTTCCTCAACCAGCATTTGGCCCAGCCTTGTCTCCGTCCTGGAGTAGATTATCGACGTGAGTTTTTGGAAGACTTAGCGTTGATCGTAGACCCTTCGATATTAGTTTCATTCGGGTCCTGGAAGAGCGATCGCCTAACTTAAATTCAGTATGACTTGGGGTTTGGCTTAGAGCCGCTCTTGCTGTGTGATATTCTACATGGGGAAGCGACTGACGATCAGAATACCCGGCGAAGTCTCGTGGTTCGGGTGGAACCACCTTAAAGTTAACCTATCCCATAAGTGGAGACATTTTCTCCATTTTCCATGGTTGAGAATGAGAATTAAATGGTGTGTCATTCTTGTCAGAGAATGGCTAAATGGTTCATACTTTAACCATCAAGTCTAATATGAAAAATGCAGTTGTACAAGTGCTCATATTATGATTTTTGATTGATTCCATTCCTCAAACCATGAGAGAGGTTGGAGTTGCTTAATTCCTATGTCAGTCTCTGATTTAGCCAGGGCAGTTATTTTGAGATATCAATGTCACTTAGTTGGGTAATGTTACACCATTCAGAAGGGGGTAGCGGTGCAAACAATCAAAATCCATTGTAGAGGCAGGACTCAATGTCTCAGAGATGATGTAGTCATATTTTATAGATCATCTCTTATTGCAGCAAGTTGACAGTGGTTCCCTGAGTGGCAACCAATAAAAATTAATCACAATTGTGGTACTGGCCTATTGACAGGCAAAGAAAGTCTATGGATGTCATATTTGACTCCCTGCAAAATCTTTATGGTCTTCTCCACATTTATGGTGGGTCATACTGTAGATTGTAGATCTCACTGTGGGTCACACCCTAGACAATTACTGAATTTTCTGTAATGAGCAGAAGCAGAAATGTAAGAGAGACTATTTTCATGCAAGTAGTTCTCTGACAATGGGACTCACTCAAATCTGAATACAAACTGGTTTTTGGGATCATTGAATGACAGAACACTTGTGAAGGGCAAGCATTGGCATTAAAAAATAGTATCATGTTTCTAATCTGCCTTTCATATGCTGAAAGTACATTGTTTATGATAATAACACTTTTTCCTCCCATATTTTGAAAACGTTCAATTGTTGCATTAAGACTATAATTACATGAATGGACATTGCAATAATTTTGCAATGAGTTCACACACCCTTATAAACCAAACCAATGTTTTCAATAGGCCTACCAATGTAAGTGGAATTAATCTTTCCTCCTCCCTCACATACAATGTGAAACTGTATTTGACACATGTCCCTATACTCAAAACTCCATTAGCAACAGTGCCCTTAAAGGGGTTTTGCGAACTCAATAAAAAGACTGCATAGCAGGAGTGAATTTTAAGTTGAATTGCCCAAAGTCATTGTGACTGAGTTCCTCCATATACATACTCTCATGATGTTAGTATGTCCTTTGTTACAGCTGGTAGAGCCAATGGAGCCTGTATAGTTTAGGTGTGACATAGATAATCAAATTGAATATCTGAGAGCTGCCAGGAAGGATAGAAGATAGTATGGTGAGAGACTGCTCTGGTGTGTTTATCCAGTCAACATATGCACAAGAAATAGGTCCTATTCCTATCTGTATTGCTTCCAGGGGCACTATTAACATGAAAGTATAGTGCATGGAGAGAATGACAGGATTTAGCTTCGAGGAATTAGATATTATATGAATCCTATATTATCATAACAATGAAGCATAAAGAAGAAATGAATAAGACTTCTTGCTGTTCAGAGTTCTGTGGATGACATCATTTTGATCTCTATATATAATATACTAGATAATTAGAACAGGCTTAGGCCTATTTGATAAAATTCAGGAAATTCCTATCTACCTTTCTTCCTTCAGGCACCCAAACTGAAGACCAATCCACCCAGGACAATGATAGAGGTTACTGTGAAGACATTGGATTCCAAGAATCATTCCTTTTCTGTTCCTTGTGATGTGAGTCCAAATATGGCCTACTCCATTCATTATTGAAACTTAGGGTTAGGACACTGTTTATCCACAATAATTATATGCTATGAAGTGAGGGGACCTTACCAAGCAACTAGAAAAATTGACCATTTTCATGTCATCTTTCAATGATGAAAGATGAGAGAGAAAAAGATTGCTCGTAGTTTCACATTGACCTTATGTTGGCCAATTACACCTGTATTCAACTTTGCAGTTTGATAGGACAGGTGGATTAGCCATAAATGTTGAATGGTAACATGCCTCACTTAATATCAATGGGGGAGAACTTTTTTATATGAAATAAATGTATTGCTGTTAAAAACTGTCAAAAAAAAAAGAAAACTTTCTTAAGATGAAAAGAGAACATCCCTAGTAGCATATAACATTGATTCAATGTCCAGATGCTGAATTTATTGTGCAATAATTGTCTCTTGTTACAAAACTTTGCTATATGGTCACAATAAATTGCCCTCCTATTGCTCCCTCTAAAAGCTTTAGGTTTAAGAGGCAAGGAATTCCAGAGATTTAGTGTTCATCAGTTTGAGTCTGCAAGGAAAGATCTTCCAAGGATTGAATGCTGTCTCCCAACAAGTTTTTGGACAGGGTTATCTGGTAGTGTCAATCACATTTGGCAGCTATTTTCAAATTTGTATTAAATATTTATCTTCATTTATTTTCACAAAGAGTTAGAGCATTCAAATGCATTGATTATCTGTGGCCTCTAATAGCTCTATATCCTCATCAGAACATTTTTTAAGGGGCATGATTGTTTTTTTTTTTGTTCACTGTCATGTCTTAAATGCTACGTGAAATGCTACTCTATTACATACACTTGTTGGGGGCCTAGCAAGCAAAATGACAGAAAGAAAATGACAAACAATTGTTGAAAAACTGGATGCAGCTGAAGAGAGTGAATGGAAGCATTATTTTACTTACCTTCCATTTCTCATCAGATCTGTTTGCTTTGGTGTTCTTATTCATGGATCATATTCTCCTTTCATGCCAAGCATGCATAGTGCCTGTGACTAAGTTCAACTGTTTCTGATTTGAAAGTCAGTGTTGTATAATGCCACATATGTTGTCTGTTTGCAGCTAACTGTCAGACAATTCAAAGAGAGGATAGCTAGCTCTGTTGGAGTGACTGCTGAATCTCAGCGTCTCATTTCCTCTGGGAAGGTTCTGCAAGATGATAAATGCCTCCAAGAATATGGTGATGCAACATTCATATTTCTCTTTGCCAATCATAATATGCTTTTGCCACATGATTATTGTTAGCTGTTGTCACTCTTTAGACTAGTTATCAATTATCATCCCTCACATCTCTCTGCACCATGGTGTTTTTTAGTTGAATGCTTAATATTGCATTCTAAGCATGTAATTTGGGAATACATGCTTTTCTTTATACAGTCAACTCTCTATATACTGCCACTGTTGGTTTTTGCCGATTTTGGCACTGTATCGCGGGTGGCGCTATATCAAAAAGAGCAGCTTTAAAACAGAAAATTTCTGAAATGTCTCAAATGTAAAATATTCAATAAAATTAGCAAAAATAATCCACTTTAATTCATCCATGCTGCCAATGGTGAACAAAAACTACACAGCTTTGAAAAATGGTTCACAATGTTTTGCTGACTTTCAGCCTCATGCGCCTCCTTGTAACAACACACTTCCACGTTTTCCCTCACACTTATAGCTGTCCTTTCCCCCATTACTGGATAATGAACAGGCTTGAACAATCGTCTGGAGAGACTTTGAACTGAAGGAGGTGTTTCCATTCTCCAAAAGAAAGATAAAGAGAGGCAGGATTAGGAAAGATTAAGAGACCCCTTACCTTCTAATCCGTGGCATCCATGCCAAAGCTAAATCATCTCTCACAATCTTGTTATCAAACGATCAAAAGGAAAGGCTGACAGCATGTCATTTTTTTCCACCATGGTAGTGCATGGTATAATCATTGTAGCTGGTACAGTATGCTGCCTGGCACTATATCTAATTCAACTTACGTTGAATAAGGCACGTTTTTACGAGGCAAGGTATTGGTGGATGGCGGCTTGCGAGAGTGGTGCTATAGCAGGGGAGTGCCAATGATAAGCCTATGGGGAAGATTTGTTCTCGGGAAAGAGTTGACGCTAAGTGAGAGTGGCGGTATATCTGTTGGTGCTATATCAAGGGTTGACTGTATGTCTTTATTTCAGATGTTAGTGGAAAAGTTATTCATCTGGTTCAGCGAGCTCCACCTCAGTTAGCTGCAAGGAATGAAGGTACTGACTCTCAGCAACGTGACAGTCAGGATGATCATTCACATCATCATCATTACCATTTCCATCAAGGTGGAAGTAGGAGAAGGAGATCTGTTGTTGTAGGTGAGGCATCTTTATGTCTGAAAGTGTCATTGCTATATTGACACAAATAAAGGAAGAGTCATAAACCCTCTCCATGTGAGATTTCTGAAATGATTTTTTTGCTCTTTATTTCCAGGAGCTGTGGGGCCAAGTTCTTCATCTGTAAGACTTGGAATATGCCAGGAAATGCTATCACAGGCAATGAGAATCATGAACAGATTGGATAACCCTGAGTCGCCAAATCCTAGCAATGCTGATCCTGTCGTAACATCACCCCCTCTTGACCAAAATGATCCTGAATCATCATCATCATCCAACCCTCATCCTGGAGAATATCAAGGGTGAGACTTTAGGAAATGATTTACTTTCTGATGCTCCTCCCACAAAAATTCCTGAAGAGTATTTGCTTATTTCATCCTCTTGTGGCTGTTTATTATGAAGCCTCTTCATTTGTGCAGGAATGAAAATATAGTCTGTCCATAAGGCAACTGACTGTAGACCTTTGAATGATGTCATATCTTTCCTCTTTCCACGTTTCTCTTTACTGAGAATTAATATTGCTGTCTCATGTTTGAACCCTAAGGTCTGAGGAGCATTCCTTAACCCATCAAGCACTGAGTTTTGACCTGACCTCCTAAGTGATGATTGTATGGTGTATGTGAAAATTGCCTGAAGGGTTAAGAGTTATAGCCAAGTGCATGTTTTCTCAGAGATGCATTTTTTGGTCCTCCTTTTACAGAAAACATCAGCCAAAAAAAGTTATTCCAAATGTTAGAGAAGATCCATTTGTTCTGTTACTGAAATGCCAAGGATATATGCCTGTTGAATGTTACCAATGCTTCCAATGGAGAATGTGCTGAAACATAATATCAGGTTGCTTAAACCCAAACAAGGGTCAGGGATATTAGTCACACAAAAATAAAATGAAGGGATCAGCCGATATGCCCAAAATAAATTGTTACCTCAGATTCAATTATTAAAAAGCTATCAAACTAAAGTTTGTCCATATAATTTTTTGGAAAGGATTTTTCCTATGTTTACTACTGAATACAAGGTTTAGAAATGCATATGTTTTCTGAACAATGATGATGTACAGAATGTGATTGAACCTTAGACCAAGACATGATTCAAAAGTGCTATGCACAGTAGTGCCACTTCAGTTAATAACCAGAGCACAGCTGAGCAGGAGCCAAAATGAAGAAATATATAACTGGTATTTTTTCATCCTTGTAAGCCCACAGCATTATGAACCTTTTGATTCCAAGACACTTCTATGCGTGGTCACATTTGTGTAACTGTCCTTTGACATAACATCCATTCGTCTGCATAGGGTAAGCACCCTGGTTTCTGGCCGGTCTCCAGTTGTTGGCCAATGAGGCTTAAATCCAGCATAATTGGTTCATCTGGCCATTTTCAAGCATTCTGTCAACATCTTCTCGTACGAGGACCTATTACTAGTGTTTCACGGTGTGTGCACAGGGTGTCCACTTCCTATGGGAGTCGTACTAGTGTGGCCAAAAACTGGGGTGTTTACCCTATTACTCTACATTCCAATACCAACTGAAACCACAAAACTTCCTTCCAAACCCATGTATGCATTCATAGAGGGGGCTATGGCATGTTTTCATTGTTAAACAATTTATGTGAGTGGAGACAGGAAGTATTATTTTTCCAAAGACCTTCGCCCAAAAAAAAAGGTTGTGGAAATCCAGAGATGATAAACTACAAAGTTTCCAGACTATATCCAAAATAGTTTTTACTCCCATTTGTCCCTGATATCATCATGCTACTCCTATGCACAGTTGTGAAAGGATATAGGCTTCCTTCAACCTTTTGTAGAGAAGAAAAGATTATGCACAACCCTATGCATATATTATGCCTGCCCAACAGGAAATACTAATTTGTCAAATGTGCCTTCTCCTTATTTGTTTGTCTCTGTATTTTGGTCAAGTGGTTCCAGATCTGATCATCATGTCTTCTAGTGCCCTATGTTGATGATATGCTATCTTGGTTCTTCATGACAGGTTCTTTGAAGGTATGTCAGATGATACTGGACATGGACCACTAATGTCTGCCATGCAAGTGGATATAAATGTTGAAGTTCAGAGTGGTAAGATTTGAAAAGCTTCTTGCTATCTCTTTCTCATTGTCATGATATACAGGGTGAATCAAAAGTCACTGGACGACTTCAAGCAGCTATAACTCAACAAGGAAGGCTTTAATTTGCAAACGGTTTCTTGCACATAAAAGAGCGTTTGCTAATTGACAAAGCAACATGGAAATTTATATGAAATACCAACAATAAATGGGATAAGCCTTCACAAAATGAAAAGCAACATTTTTCAACATAAAAGTGGTATTTAAGGTACAATGGACCCACTCATTCACAATTATTTCCGTATAAATTTTTGCTGCTCCAAATGGTTTTCTGATAATGCTGATGGAACTTTCTTTAGAGGAACATGTTGCCATAGTTAATTTATTACTTATCTGTGAAGGAAATCTTTCCAAAGTGAAGTGTCGTTTTGCCTTGAAGACAAGTGGATAGGCCAGGTCGGGCCTATCAAGTGGCCTCCCAGGTCACCTGACCTGACTCCACTCAACTTCTGACTGTGTGGTTTCATTAAAGACCAGGTATAACCTGAAAATTTGTGCGTGATCATTGAACTTAAGCATCACATCACTGAAAAGATTGATGGAGTTGCCTTTCGGTGACAGTTTGAGTGATCGAGCTTGATGGTGCTCAATATCATGGCCAGTAATTACTGTCATTTTTATGCCAAATAAATATGTAAAAATTTTCTATGTTGCATATTTCTTAATTATTGCATGCCCTTTCCTATGCAAAAAAAAAACATTTTTGCAAATTAATGCTTTCCTTGCCGATATATAGCTGTTCAAAGTTGCTTAGTGACTTATGACTCACCCTGTACTTTACAGTGTTTCCCAGTTGAGTTTAACATTTCTTCACTTGGTTCTGGCATGCTCAAAGCAGAATTTGCAAATGTGTAAATTCTTCAAAATTTTCATTTGATGTATAAAAATGTTCCATTTAAATGAAAATCAATTGAATTCAGCTGAAAAGCTGAATCCAATTGTTGCATGCTGAAACTGTTGTATGTTGCTATACAGACTCCATTCTGTCTTCTCTCTTCAGACTTGAATCTGAGACAAGGAGAGAGAAGAAGCCGAAATAGGGACAGCAATGTAGAGCAGGTCACTCCAAGAGCAAGGTCTCAATCAACCAATAGCAGGAACTCAGGAGAAGGAGGTAGAAGTTCTAGTGTACCACCTCCACAGGAGAGGGGTGGATCTCACTCTCGTGATCATAGGTCAGAAGAAGGGAACAGACAACAGCAGGGTGGTCCCGGAATTCAGTATGAGTTTCCATTGGCTTTCAACTATATTGAATCAGAACGAATCTGATACTCAGAGACTGCATTTTCTTGGAATTCTCATAGGCATCCAAGGACACAAGTGCTTGCAGATGTGATTGAGGAACTTGTTCAAGCCAATAATAGACTGAGGCCTCATATGGAGCGAGTCCGTGACCTCATGAGGAATGATCCTCGTTTGGAAGTGGTAAGAGTTATTCAGTTTACTGAGCAAGTCTACTGTTTACTGTTATTACTGTTTTATTCTCGAAGTTCTTTCATTTCAGAGATGAAGACCCTTCATATGGTAATCACATATTAACTGTGCCAGTGGATTGTACCATGTCCAAAAGTTCTTTTCACACCCTGCTTTCAGTCATATGAAGTACTTAAACCAACTAGTTCAAGTGTCAATTGGCCTGGGAGGGCTCTCCCACAACAGGGTGAAGTGAGAAAACCTGAAAGACCAAGTTAGGCCCTGTACCTTCAAAGTGAATCATGATAATAATGGTTGCAATGGTAGTTTAAATGACTCTGCTCTGGGTAACATAGTTAAAACTTATTTCTGCCATTGCTTGGGATTCCCTGGTCTTTGAATGACAAGAGTCAGAACCTCAGAAATTGACTGAACAATGACATGAATGCAGTTTCCTTCAGTTCCAGCTAAATTTGTCTACTGCTGCTTCGCTTCCTCTCAGATAAACTGGTTCCTTGCAGCTTGTGAATCAATCTAACAATATGCCTACATTTCTTTCGTCTTTTACCTTAAAATTCTTGCAAAATTCTACTCACCCCAATTTTTTGCAAAGAGCAGCATTTTCATGGGGAAATGGAGGAGCTCTAGCCCAAAATTTTGTGCTCCACGCTTACCAACTACTCTTCTGCTGATACATTTCCTCGCACAAAAATAAAATTCTAGTCGCCTTCATGTTTTCACTCTTGTGCTGAAATGACTGGAGAAAAAAAAACAAGAATTTTAAGGCTTTTCAAGGATATGTTGAAGTAGTTAAAAAATAAGAGTAAAATTTGCCATGCTATCTCCTATCTCATGAATTCCAATGAATTTCAAAGAGCAGCCCTTTTTTTTTTTTGTCTCACCTGGTATATATATACACAGGGTGGGCCAAAGGAAAAAAACAAAGCTGTCATCTTTGGTGGGTCATCAATCTCATTGTAGGCTGCCAATTTTTATTAAATATGGTAGGCTTATAGGGTGGCACAATTGGAGATTTTATGCCGAATTTCAGCCTTCTGGCTCTAAAATTATAGGAGCTGTAATTATTTTCTGATGACCCGCAACAAAATGTGCTGTCGAAAATATTAGTATGAAATGGGTATAGAATGAAGGGAGGACCAAATTCATGACCATCACTGCATGATGCTATAGAGGAAGATTGGGAGGCACTGCCTCAAAGAGTTATTGACCATGCCATTGATCTGTGGTGTCCCAGACAAGAAGCTTGTGTTCAACAGAATAAAGGGCACATTTAGCACTTTTTCAGTTGAAATGAACCTACTTAAAGAAAATTGTGTGCTTTCGTTTTTGGCATTTTGTTTTTGTAAGTTGTGAGAAATTTCAAGCTGAAATAAAACATTAACATTTACTTTTTTGGTGATGAAAAGTAAATTAAATGCCAATCTCACAGTTTTTGGAATTTTTATTTGAAACTCAGCATGCAGACCCTAATTGAATCACACTTTGTGCCTACCAAATTTCATCAGAATCAGCAGCCTACATTAAGATTGACAACTCACCAAAAATGATAGCTTTGTTTTTTGGGCCCACCCTGTATATATTGGTCTGTGCAATCTCACATTTTAAGTTGAGATTTCTTCTTGCAAGTTTGGAATTCTTGGATTGTATTAGAGCATCTCATTTTATATAGGTACTAGGGTTTCATTTTCTTGCAACTATCTCGTGTTTTCAGTCCTTGGAGAGAGCTGAGGCACAGAGATCTTTCAATTTGACCATGCAAGCCCTGCATTATCTATCTCATGCTCATCATGCTGTGAGTGACATGATGGTGGATTTCAGTCGCCCACCGCCTAGAGAAATTCGGGCTGTTCCCTTTCTCACTCACTTCCATCCTCTTACCATTCAAGCTGGAATTCCAATCCAGGTGAGACTACCTTTTCAGTCATCAGTCATGCTGTCATTGCATGTATAGTGCTGTGTGTAGTGCTGTATTCACCATAATCTTATCCCAAATTTACATTGCCTCTCTTAACAGGCAGAAATCAGCCTGCAAACAGGCCCCCCACAAACTCACCAATCATTCAGTGATGCAGCAGGGAGGAACCAGAGTGAAAGCTCTCCACAGAGTGAACAGTCAAATACCAACAATCTCCAATCAGGTGGCAACAACCCCCAATCAGGTGGCAACAACCCCCAATCAGGCGGCAACAACCCCCAATCGGGTGGCAACAACCCCCAATCGGGTGGCAACAACCCCCAATTAGGTGGCTTTAGGCCTGGAATCCCATACACCTTTGCTTTGCCACCTGTCATGGTGATGGAGATGGGTCCTGCCACATTCACAATTGAAACAGGGCGTGCCCCTGTCCCTGGCAACTCAAATGCAACTCCATCTAGTGGCACATCACCCAGTGAACCACCACCTTTGACAAGAAATTCAGTTCCTACTGCTGAAAATGGTACCAACACTGGAGCATCTCAAGAAGATAGGAATGGAATTGGGACTCGAGTTGAAAGTTTCTTGCAAGGGGAATCCAACCAGGGTATGCTCTACAGCTAGTCATGATGCATGATATTGCAGATCAAGATGTCCACATGTATTTAGTTAGTGAGTAGATTGCTCTTGAACCTAAACAATTATTTTCAGGTGGAGGTGGAAACAGAAGTGGAAGTCAAAGTGGAGGTGGAAGTAGTGGTGGTGGAGGTGGTCCTTGGTCTCGAGTACAGGACAATTTCCCCATTCCTGCTGGATTCATACAACATGTGATGAACACAGTCACCAGTGCCATCCAATCTGGACTCTCTGCCAGTGCTGGGCATGCATCATCTATGTGAGTTCTTGTGTAGGCATATGACAACATATGCAAATTTAAATGAAGAAATTTGTTATTTGTAGAATATCAGGGACAGAACTTTGAAACCGAAGCGGAATAGAAATGAAGTGCCTAAATGTTTTACTGCATTCTGTATTTGCTTAGAAGACCTGAGGATTTAGATTGTCCAGAATGGATGTCAGGAAACTTGAAACCATCTCAGGTAATAATTTTAAAAAAAGAATGGAGAATTTTATGGACTGAAACACCAATTATAAATACTAAATGAGAACTTTGGAATTTATTGTCCAAACTGAATATTGAAAGCAGTTTGAGTCACACATGACAGTTGAGTCTGTACACAGGATGAAACCAAACTGAATTGCATATCATTATTCCATTATCTATGTGAAGCTTATGGTGAATACACAAGCTATGCCAATTGGAAGAATCATAGTCAACAGTCATAATGATTTCAAGTCCAAACTTGAAATTAGGATCTAGGGACCACATTAGAATGGCACATCTCTTGGCAATAGGTCATTTTTGGTTCTTCATGCTTTAGAGGATGGGAATGGTTGTAGGATGGATTACATCTTTGACAATGTCACCAGTAGTAATAAAATGCATAAGGAGGGTGTCTGAGTCATGAAGAGCATGTCCAGCCATTCTCTCAGGTATTTAATTGTGATGTGAAGATCCGCAAATCAGGAATGACTTGACAGTCGAGTGACCTTGAGCACATTGTTGCCTGATTCCTTTTAGTCAGTTTTCAGTTGACTCAAGTATGGCATATGCTTTACTCTGTGCTTTTAAATAGGTGACTAATCTAAGCACATTATTTGCTTGGCCTTTGCTTCAAAACATATATTAAACTCTTTCCAAGATTAAGTACAAAATTAAAGAGAGCTTCAAGACAACCCATTCTAGCCTACCATGTCTGTAGCAACTTCATTTTCACATATCAATATGATGAATAAGGGGATTTTCTCATCTGTTGCCTCAGCTGAAACCCTTTAAATTCTGCATGCAAGCTATTTTGATTGAAACTGTTAAAAATAGGTTAAAAATACATTATACTTTGAATTCAGGGGATTTGCAGTTTTCCCAGATTGCACCTATGTTGAGTCAACATCCTCAGATTGGGCATCTTTGGTACATCTTTATGGAGATCCATGGAAGTTGCCAACCTCCATCCCAGATCTGAAATGCATTGGCTTTCATATTCATCACCAAAAGTGCATTCTCTCTCATAATCTGGACAGTGGGCAAGAGCCCATTGTCCAGATTATGAGAGGACACACTTTTTTTTTTTCTTATTCCTGGTTCCTGTATTTTGTTCAAATCAGTGACCAAAGAAAAGGATTTTAAGACTTGGCATCTGAGTTAATCAACGGCCTCATAAACATCAATGAGAAATGCATGTGTTTCAGAACTGTGGAGTGCTATGGTGGATGCCATAAGTCCTAACTCATATGACTCTTTTTGTAGTAATAGGGAGGGAACAGGAGGATCAGGTGGGGAGACCAATCAAGGTCAGGGTAGCCAACAAACAGGGCAGCATGTTCGTGGTGAAGGTCACAGTCCAGGTGTTCGAGTGATGTATGGGAATGGAGGGCCTGTACCAAGGCCATTCCTTCCACCTCTGAGCTTCTCAGCTGCCCATGGTGAGTTGTGTTGTAGTATGTAGGCCTACCACTTTATGCCAACATGTAAGAGAGGGGATGAATGGTGACAACACCAAGTAATATTATTATTATTTATCTATATAGCTTTTTTATACATTACAGAAGGAGAAGGTGAATGTCCATGAATATATTCATGGTTGATAAGTCATTCCAAGGATGTTTGATCATCCTTTTGCCACTGAAGATGGCAGAAATACCTGGAGACTTGTTTATCAAGTTTTCAATGAACTCTTTGTAGGAAAGGTCCTTTTTGTAAGAGTTAGGATCTTCTGATTTATATAACCACATCTACTCTTAACAGAAAAATGACGAATCACAAATTCAAAGTTCCTTGGATGGAATTTGACAAATCAATTTAGCATTGTTTCATACACTATGTGGCATTATGGGCACATGTTTGACTCCAGGATGATGCCATCTGTTATGTTGTTCACAATTCAGTCGTTTTTACAACATATTGGTCTTTATTTTTGGTACACTCATTGGCTTGTGCTACTCATCAACCAGAAGCATAATTTCCCACTAAGGTAGCTTTAAAAAAAAAAAAAAAAAAAAAAACATCTAGAGTCTCATCTGCACCACAGGATAGTGCTTCTTCAGGTAATGAGGGTTCTTCCTATTGAAGAACCATAAGGTGCATCTGCCCCACCACACTTTTCTAGGGTATTAAAAGGAAGAGAAAATGGCAATGCATCACATGCCCAGATATAGTAATGAACTGTTCTACACTGTTGGCACACATTTTCAGTTGAAGAAGCAGCCCAGCTCAAAGAAGGATTGAAAAACTCAACACTCTTTTGTGCACTTCTGCTGAGGAAGCTTTCTTGCCCAAGGATGGTGCTGGACATGTTTAACACTTTTGCTGCCTAGCTATTTTTTGGAGGTCATTTCCCTGAGGCCAAAGTAATCCTCCTAATTCTGGTGTGCATGACATAAGTGATTCTGCAAAAGGTGGGGATTCACTGGAGATGATGAATGCAGTGGTTGGCAATCGACAAGCCATAATGAGAAAACTTTGAGCTTGTCCGTAGTGGCTGCTGGCAATCAAACAGTACCTATGCAGTACCTTTGAGTTTCTAACCAATCTTGGAGTGCCATTGCTCCCACATTCTTTGTATTCCTTGGACCTCGAACCTTGCAACTTCATGCTGATTCGAAAAATGAGGTGCCTTCTATAAATGTTGGCTGCGTCGATGACACAGATGCTTGCCAGTCAGCTTGTGATCAGTTGGACTAATTTGTCAAGAATGGGTTACAGTCTGTTCTAAGCTCTTTACAAACAAAAGGAAATGTGTGTTGCAAGTCAGGTTGAACTAGAGGGTTGACTGAAAAAAATTAAGTAACTTGACAATATTATTTTAAAAATAATACTGTCAATTTTTCAAAACAGCATTTGCTACAAGGATACTTTCCATTGAGGTATTCAAAGATGTCTCTGGCATATTTTCAATAAGAAAGGGTAAAGAATGCCCTGAGATCAGAAAGGAAATTAAGTAGAAATCTGAAGGAAGTTTTTTGTAAATCTCTATAGCCTTCTGCTTCGATCATTAAGATTATTTCTGGCTTTGAGAAAAAAAAAATTCCAAGAACTGCTGGTAAATGTGATTCCTGGTATTTTGACATAAGCTACAGAGTGGCTAGAAAAGAAAAACCTCCCCAACTTCAAAATGTTGTGGCTCTGGCTACAATGTCTTGGGTTGTGTGTTATTTGACATTCAGATCATTCAACTAGATTTAAAGAGTGATGTGAGTATCAAATGGCATTCAACCTAAGGCATTGCAGCCTGAGCCATAGCATTTTGAAGTTGAGGGTCCTTTCTTTTGGGCCACACTGTACAGGGGCTGGTCCTAGTGTAGTCTATATCAGTTTGTGGCATGATTTTGAAGACCCATACCATATGTCATGGGAGCCCCTAGGGATTGGCTAGGAGTGTGTAACATTATGATTTGATGAGTCACTTTGCATAAGTGATGGGATTTCACTTGTTGTTTATCAAGTAATTTTTATCATTATGAAGTGTTGCTTTTATTCTCATAACTAAAGGGCATGAACTTTCTCTATCCATTATAGATAATAGTCCAGATCCTTTTCTACCTTGCTATTCCCACCATTTTCATGGTCTACGCTCAAGGCTTCCACCCGTCCCTAGAACACCTCAGGTCAGGCTCTTTTACTTTGCTATTATGTCTAATCTCAGGACCAGTACTATTTGAAACCAGTGAAGCATCTATATAGCATTATTGATATGTTGCAACAACAAAAAAATCATGTGCAGCATTGAGAGCTAAAATTTTCCTGCAATGAGTCACATAATTGTATCTGGTTTAGAGAATATTTATTCATCTTTCATTACTTGAAGTGCTCATAAAAAATGCTGATGAGAAATCATTTTTGGCTTGTCTTCTCTTTAGAAAGCTCAAAGTTGCCCTTTCCAAACTGTCTTATTCTTTGTATAGACCTATTCAGCCCTAGTCAATGTGAAGATGGTGTAAGTCCTATTTTTTGTCATGGTTTTTCAGCCTACAGAAGTGAGTTCTATCCCAACTCGTCGCTCACCATCTATGGCAGAGTTTCGAGATCGAATGCATCCTGCCAGTGGTACACAGCTCTTTTACTTGTCTTGCATCCTAGTACCAGAAAATTTTTCTTTTAATTTGATTTCTTTTTTCTCAGATGCTGCAGCACCAAGAACACAGACACCAAGGGTGCCTCACCAGCAATCAATGGAAACTGTAAAGTTCTCCCATTTTAAAAACATTCTTGTCTTCCTCATATCACTATACTTCCCTTGTGCATTCCTATTGTATGTGCAAAGTGCATGGTTCCCTTTCCAGAGCCAGTCCACTGCAAATACTAATGCCAGCGGAAGTATGCCAGTAAGCGATATGCTCCAGAGTCTCTCTCAACTTCTTCAGGTAGGACATTGTGTTCTGTATGAATTCTTCCTTTGAGTGCCAGTCTCATTCATGCTTTTGTTATACCCTTCAGGTTTTTGGCTCTTCTGGGAACTCTTTGACTCTGTCTCAGATCTTGCGTAACTTCTTGGACCAGCAGGAAGTGCCAGCTGACCAGCAGGGCTTCCCCTCTGATGCCATTCTTGTCATGGTAAATTCTGTTGCCAAAAGGGACTTTCAGTTTTCATGCATAATAGTATGATCTGCATATTGACCTTGTTCTACTGGCTACAACCACTGGAATCAAATTTGTTGCTTCAAGAGTTCTAATATTGTACATAATTCACAAAATTAGATGCATCTAGATAAACTTGGCAAACTGCAGATCATGCTATTCTGTGGGGGCTATGGATGGGTTTTACTTATCAATTAAAAACCTGTAAAATGATAAATTATTATGGTTATTTATGGTCAATAAGGCCTACTTAGGTGTGGTTTCCTCCTCCATAGTTATGCATTTCATATGGATGCCATGACTCAAAAGTTGCAGTCATGTTTCTCCTTAGGAGAGCCCTAGGCATACAACTTGCATTTGTTGAAACATAACATAATAATTGTGATTTTTAAGATAGAGAGAACAACTAGGCATTTTTTAAAGCTCCATCACTGATGTAGAGTTGAAAATTGGAAATTCTTGAAATTGAGTGATAGCTTTTTTTTTTTGCCTAGGCCATGGGATTCTGCATTAAACATAAAGTGAAAGCCTGATATAACAGCTCATTATACTGAGGGTCAAGTCATGTCCCCCAAAGATGAAAAAAAAATAAATTACTGCATGTTAAGTTCATATTGCTTGGTTTTACATTTGAGGAGAGTGGTATAGGTCAAGGCATTCTATTTTAAGGCATGACCTTGTAAGGGCATCCTTGTGATATGTAGGAGCAGGTATGCAGAAGGAAGAGTGCAGTCACTTGGAACACAAGGGGTTTTCCCCAACCTGTTATGCAATATTGCCATTTTTCCTAACCCTGTATGTGCTTTGTCTTCACTGGTTTAAGCTTAATACTGTAAAACATGTTGTACACTTAAATGGGCAACGCTGTGACTAATACATGGGAAACACCCTCACCCAGAGTGCATTTTACATTGTAACACAGGTGTTATTCATGTCCCCTGAGACCTGCATTATATCAAGCTTTCATTGTATCTTAATCCTTTGAATTGGTTCAACGTGTTTGTCATGTCCATTGACTTCTGTTCATTGAGCTCTTTGAACAAGAAGGCAACTTTCACGATCTCTGCTACAGTGAATGTAATTCTGTTTTTACTTACCAGCTTGAAGGCTTCAACCTCCAATGCCTTTTGTTTAGATAAAGGTTCTAAGGCTATAATTTATGTGTCTTGGATGTCAGTAATACTGCAATATCTTCTCAACATACTAGCCTTGCACTCACACCCAACACCACCCAGATTGCAAGACAGGTCTTGATAGTCTGGTGAGCCTTTACTGCAATCTTGGCATACTCAATTGACACCACTGTGCAGATGTTGGATGGTTGGCATGAGTTCACCTTGAAAAAATAACTGGCTCTATAACTCTAATGTTGAAGATTGCAGTTCTCAGCTCTTTGAAATTTTCTGATTTGATTTTAAAAATTAACAGTCAATAATTGTTTGTTAAAAGTTGGTCAGTTTACTAGTCAAATGACCCAATCAATCAAGTTTCTTTTCCATAGAGGGAACAGAGATTTAAAAAAAAAGTAAATGTGATGACTCATGCAGACTTGACTTATTTCATATGTTGATAAATTGATTGTCTTCTTACAGAGTGACTACTTGACACTGCCTGACATCATCAGCTTATATTTTGGCAACAGCGAACCTTTGCAAAGGGTTCAGGCTCCTCTACGTCAGTATGCCGCAACTCGAATACTGAGAAATCAAGAACCTACTCTTGTGAATATAAGCAATGCTGTTGAAGATCTCATCCGTGAAGTAACTCCTGGGCTTCAGTACTTTGTGGTGAGTGTTTCTTCACAGTAAGCTTCAAAAGTTTAATCTGAATTATGTCCTGTCCCTCTTAATATCATTAGTCTTCCTCCCATAGGATATGGCTCCAGTTCATGACACAATAGATGCCACAGCTACCATGCAGAATTTCCTTCGAATTCATTTACGTGAGCTTCTGCAGCTTCTGTTCCGCCCATTGTCGGCAGCTGAGTTTGCACCTTTGTTTCGACAATGCTTTCAAGAATGCATTCATACTTACTTGGGACTGGCAATCTGCTGCCTTCAATATGGACAGCTAAGTCTGGAAGAACTGTTCACAGACAGCATGGTGAGTGATGATGTTTTGCAAGTTGTTGAAGAAACAGAAAATTTTGAAATCAAATAGTTTGGAGAAATATGTACCTAAATTACTTGGATTCAAATATAGAATGTTATCCCAAGTTAATTTTCCTAAGCTTTCCTGTTTGCAGTAAGTCTACAATAATGCCAATGATACCTCTCTATTAACCCTTTCAATGCTGAGTTTTGTAGCTCTCTTTGGTAACCTGGCAAGTATACTCATCTGTAGCATGGAAAGGGTTAATCATTCTCTATTGGTAGCCAATTTCAAGACAGAGAGACTTAGTGCATGCCCATTCAGTCACTCTGGCCCTTATCTGGATTGGTTCTGTTTGTAATATTGTCATTTCATATGCATGACATGTTCTTCTTCAGCGAGATGTACTCTCTTCCATGGGGAACAACACTAATGTCTTTGGTCAAATGATGGCATCTATACCTCTGACCCATCTTCGGGGTTTACTGTCATCTGTTCCTGCTCTCTCAACCCAGCAACGTAACAGATACATTGTCTACAGGCCTTCAGGTCCTTCATCACGCACATCTGAGGTGTGATAATTTCCATACTTTTACATTGAAGGAAGGAAGATAATCTGTTCATCAGTATTGATGTAGGAGATGGAAAATATTTTCACAGCCAATGGAAACAGATCCAGATACTCCTGCAGAAAGTGCTGCTACAACTGTAGCCCCAAGTGTTGCCACCTCTGCTTCTTGTACACCAAATTCAAATGCTACTGGTCGGCCTGTCGAACAGATTGAAGAGACAGCTACTGTTGGGAATGAATGGGAAAATACCATGGACCCTGTATGCTCACATCAAATAAAACTCACTTGTTATTGACAGTTTATAATACCACTGACTGTTGCAATTGCAGGAATGGGTAGCAGTCATTAAGAATGATACAGCAGTTCAGCATCGTATGTCTCCTGGGAAGCCTTTCAGTGATGCTTATTTGAGTGGGATGCCTGCCAAGCGACGTAGACTTGTTACAGGTAGCAAACCTCAGGGAACTATTAATACCATTCTGACAGGTTTGTGTCTCGTCTTTTTTGCCAATTTCTTACATTTGTGGAGCAATGCTGAAGCATATGTGTGTCTCTTGATCACCCTGCAGACACATTGCGTCGAGCTGTGAATTGTGCTGGAGTCCAGCCTCAAAATCAGTCCACCTTGGAGGTGACTCAAGCTGCAGGGGAAAGTGCCAGTTTGCAAGCTGCCTATAATGAACAGGTTCGACTGGAACTGCAGAAGCTAATGAAAGACAACAAAGACTATCAGTCCTCCAAGTATCCCAATACAGAAAAGTATATTAGTAAATGAGGCTGTTGAAACCATAAGCATGACTGAGTAAAATTTACCTGGATTGTGGTGAAGGTTCCAAATTTGTATTTCTGGAACTGTCAGGGCAATGGAAGTAGAGTTTGTGGAGGACCTGCCTTATTGCCTGTATATTCCTTGGAATTCCAGAGGCAATGCAAGCCTTCTAGGAAGATGACATCAGGAAGGAAACCATTGATGTTCCAGCACTTCCCTTTATGATTTAGTGAAGTTAAGGTTTTTTATTGTGGTAGGGAAAGTTGCAGGGATCACTGTGTTCCTTCTGAATGGTGTTCAGGTCATGCAGTCCACTTATGTCTGTGAATGGCATGATTCAGTGAGTGTGATAACAAAGGACAACATTATCTTTTGAAGCTATTTATGCCCTTGTGTTGAGAAGAAAAAAAAACTATGTATTCTTGTTCCTGCTGTCCACTTTGTCTTTTCAATTGATCTGAAAAAAATTGACCAGGCATGATGCCACAATTTACCAAGGAAATTACGTGACATGCTGCTTTCAGATATGAAATCATTGAAGTTTTGCTGAATAAAATGGGTAACATCATCAAGAATCATGTTCATTTGAAAAGCTTGGAATGCAAATCTAATTTGAAAATGTAAAAAAGTTCACTCATACCATGTCTTCCAACATAAGATACAGGTCAACCTGAAGCAGAAGCAAAGTCAATGCATGGTTGCCTTTGCTTTTTGTACAATGGACCTGGAGATGATCATTCTCTGTATTTGAGCTGTTCCTTCATAAATATTGAAGATCTTGGAATCCCTCATGAGCTTCTCAACAGGATATTCAGAGTTGAAGCCAGCTCCTCCAAATATCTGGACAGCATTAGTGGCACACTTCTCAGCAACATCCCCTGCTAAGGCTTTTGCTATAGCAGCAAAATATGTATTCCGTAGGCCATTGTCCACCTCCCATGCTGCTCTCTGCCATGCCATGCGTGCACACTCTATCCCCATTGCCATTTCAGCAAGCATGAAGGCCACTGCCTAGTAAAAGAGTAGATTTTGTCAATAAAAACTTCAATCAAATGTTCACTCTAATGGCCATCATTTTCTGACAAGGCCTACATGAACATTTGTGACATGTTGCTCAAGGACACAGACCTACAAGCATCAGACAGCAAAGAAATTTGTTTGTTTTTTTTATCTCAAATTATCATTTTTCTTCCACTGCAGGGAGTATGCCAAAAGAATGTTCACCTGATGATTGATGATTTCAGTCCCAAAAGTCTTGCGTTGCAATGCCCAAGCAGTAGCTTCATCTAGAGCTCTCTGTGCTAGACCAACACCTGCTGCAGCAACTGGAGGACGAGTAACATCAAACGCTCCCATGGCAATTTTGAAGCCCATTCCTTCTTCTCCCAGTACATTTTCTTTTGGAACGAAGACATCCTCAAACGACACTCCTCGTGTGTCAGATGCTCTCTGGCCCATATTCTGTTCCTTGCGTCCTGAAGCAATCAACTCATGATAATTTCAGACATGCCACAAGACTTTCATGCATTAGTTATTACTCCTACCAGGAGACACTCCTGGCCAATCAGCTTCCACAACAAAGCCAGTGAAAGCCTTCCCTGCTGGAACATTTGGGTCAGGATTGGTTCTTGCCAATACAAAGTACCAATTGGCTTGTCCCCCATTAGTGATCCACATCTTTTGAGCATTTAACACATACCCATCACCTTTCTTTTCTGCCTTGCCTTTTATACCAGCAACATCTGAGCCAGCTCCTGCTTCTGTGACACAGTAAGCCTGCAAAAGCAGCAAGGAACTGGTCGATAGCTTGTTCAACATATATGACAGATGAGAACAGTTGGCCTAATGGGCAGGTTTCTGAATGGCATGCCTCAAAGCATAACTGAGGTATGATATCACTGATGAATTGAACCCACACATATAAAAGGCTCTTGTGTCATTCTTGTCAGGTACTTCTTCTTTTGCTCATCATTCCCAAAGTATATTACAGGAGCTTCCCCAAGGCTGTTGGCTGCAACAGCAGTGGCTATCCCACTGCATCCATAAGCAAGTTCCTCTTCGATGAGACAAGTCTCAAAGGATCCAAGCCCAAGTCCACCTGAAAAGGAAAACATACTCAACATTTCTGCAACGTGGTTTCTTCGCTGGTCAAACTTGATTCCAGAGCAGGTTTCACCATATTTTGTAGGGATATGAGTGTTGACAAGTCCAAGTTTCCACGCCTTCTCAATGATGTCTCGAGGATATTCTCCAGTCTGGTCATAATGGGCAGCCCTTGGGATGATCTCCTCTCGTGCAAACTTACGAGCTACATCCTGAAACTGCTTCTGGTCTGGGGACAACTCTGGAAACGAGTTGAAAGAGTCGACTGACTTTAGGCCTAACTTGGTTCGTAGTGGCCTGCAGGCCAGAACGTTGCGTGTACCAGAACAAAAGCGATACAGAACGCTTTGAAATCCACAAGTAGGACTGCTTACCGAAGCAAAAGCCTTGCGAATATTTTTCTTTTGCCTTCGGTTCTACGGATGGGCTAGAGGAAAGGGACGGGGTTTTACTGGACAGGGATCGGAAAAAATAAGGGTTTCTCAGAAGTTTCGTGACTTTATCCATGACAAACTCAGAGCTTTCTAGCTCCCGATATTGGACAGGACTGCAACACAAGGTCTAAGATGCAGACCTAAACGGCGTAACGAACAATTCGGCACTATAGAGCCCTAGCGGAGAGTTCACCTGATGGGAGTAAATATTTCGTAGCGCTAGAGGACAGGATATATCCTACTGGCCCCCCTCCCGCTCCCCCCTACCCATAGGTACACGCAGCATCGCGATTCCTCTGGGCTCATACACCCTGATAAAATTTTAATCTGGCATGATGCTCGGTAAAAAGTTCTGCCATTCCTTGCCCGTATAAAAGGAGTCCCAGTTCGGTTGCACAATTGTGTAATTGCTTGAAATAATCTCCCTTGATTTGCGTACACTTGGCCCAGCGATCCACTAACCTGTCCCTCACAGAGTCCGTTTTGCTGGATGCCTCTCAATGCCATGACTACTGCCGCATTCACTTCCTCAGGTTTGTGATAACGTTCTCCGCGGACCTGGTTCTTCATAATTGAAAACAGAACTGGGGGATCCCTGTGTGAGGGTGACACAGTTGGAGCTCAAAACAGAAAGGAAAATCATATTTTTCATTTCTTTCGTGAAGCAGCGTTTTGTTTTCAAATTTCCATGTGCTATACTTTTGTTGAAATTTTGCCATTCTTGGAGGGGCGTTGCCACCTCAATAATATTGTTGGGGGACACGTGCCTCTTTGCCCCTTGGGTTCGGCACCTATGCTGTGAAGTACTGGAAAATATCATGGATCGACGGGTAGTTAGTCCAATTGGAGAGATTCTTACAAGCAATGAAGCAATTGTGCTCCCAAAATTTGTATTTTTTAGTGGCCAATGGGGTGAAGTAACTTTTGATCATTCTTCGCATGCACAGGCCTCAACTAACTTTAGCAGCGTGCAGCCAACTTTAGTAAAATACTTCTGACAATATGCGAAATGCACACTAGCATCATACTAAAGTTAATGTGACGCTATTTGAGACTTGTACTTGCGCTAATCAATTGAAACATAAGAAGACCCTCGCGATGAACCGATCCACCAAGCCAGGACTTGCTGGCTGTCTCTTGCACTGAAAACACATTTTCGAAGCATTAAGTATTGCATGACAAGGACCAGATGGTTGACAGGTTATACCCTGTTGATTGTCGAGCTCCGAACGTGCGAGGAGAAGCCAGTGTTGTACAACTAGGCATTCTCTAAAATGTATACCCCGAATGAACCATCTACCTAGCCTCAGAAGTAGTTCAGCTACTTCTACTGACTGCAAACTACTTTTGTGAGGTTGTTCCACTCAACTGCTTAACTACTAAGAAAGTGGTTCAATCCTTAAAGTGAATAAATGAAAGCAAGGAAAAGGTGATTTTATGGACACTTTACATTCTGCCAATTTTAACATCGTCATAATTCTAGGTCCTTTCTCAAATCCCAGAAACAATAAAATACACACACGAATACTCAGATTTTTTTTCATTTAGTCGCCTCCACACGCACGAAATAAAATAAAAATAATTAAATTAACAATAGTATACCCTACAAAAGAATGTGACGATCCAGCACCCAGCGAACGATCCAACGATTCGACCAAAAGTCGTTCACCTTCGCCTCTTTCTTCACAGCAAATACGAGAAAAATTTAGTTTCATACTCGGACTGGGAAGTAGTGAAGGAATTCACAGAACCATGAAACTGTTAACCAACTGTAAACCACGTTAACTAGAACCATGGAACCCTCCTTCCGATCTTCAGTTTTCGTCTTCCAAGTTGGAAGTGCAGAACTGCGGGACCGCGCGAACTGCGTGCGAGTTTAGGTCTCAAAATGATGCACACATCATACAACTCTTTAAAATGGACTTAGTGGAGAAAGGCGCTTCAATTGCTGAAACATTTTTGCGAACTGGAAAATTCATCCTACAAAAATACAAAACAAAGCAGGTAAGTAAAATTCAACCTGAAGCTCCGAAATCAGCAAGTTCCTTATCGAAAAGATTCAGTAAACCCAGTGGCTGTATCGCGCTCTGTTTGCTATTTGCAGGGAATCTTTAAACGTGTTCATGGTTTAGTATTAAGGAACTTATTTCCAGAGCATAATACTCCTCCATTTGGAAAAAAAAGTACAAACTTTCAACTAGAACCCGTTGGCTCAAAACAAACTAATAATGCATAGGATCGCGTCTCAAAATCTTAGGAAGAAGACTTCGGAGGTGTAAGAATCGCCTGTGAGGGCATAACGCATTCAGGAGCATACTATGTTATCCCTGCAGAAAAGAGATTCTTTGTCGGATCTCACATTTTTCTCATGCGATGGCGATGGGGCGAGTTTGCACTACATCACAAATTCATAGGCATTGTGTGAAGAAGAATACAGATGTTGTACTCTCCCCTCGTTCTTTCGGTATCTCAAAGACCTTATCTGCGCTCAGGAAGTCAACACTTACATATAACTAGATAAGTGCTGATGTCTTCCACTGAGAATTAAAAACAAAGCTATGGGAACAGAACTTTCTTGGCAAGTTCCAATGACCCAGTCTTCATTGATAATTTTCTCCAGCATTTGGATGGTCAGGAACATGAATTTCAAAAAGTCACTGGCTATGGAAGTGTGAAGTCAACGTAGTTTGGTGAAGGAAAGGACTTCAAGATGACAGGCTCCTTGCTCCTTTCACGTGCGCAGTTTTCGTCATTGCATTTTGGCTTTCTGTTGCAGAATAATTAATAAATAAACCAAGACCGCCCTTATTTCATGATCCCTTCAAGTTAGGTTTGAACGTCAATTTCTTAGAAAAAAAAAAATTCCTCTCTCTCTCTCTCTCTCTCCCTCTCTCTGGCATACGTATGGTGAAAAGTACACGAGGCGAGAGAGAGGTGCGACTAAGAATCGCTTATGGGGAAGGCATAGCATGTATGCCTTACGTTCTCGCAGGCAATTCTTAGCCCTCGAAATCTTATTTCATTGTCTTTGGAGGACTTGATTCCACACGATTCTTACTCCGGTTCGTATCGAAGGGTTTTGGACATCTCTTTTACCCTTTTCACTTGTTAGGCAGCTTAAGCGCTCAATATGTTGAAACTTTTTGTAAGAATGTTCACATCCTGTGAAAGACAGGCCCGACTCCATATGGCTCCCTCATCTGTCCAGATGGATGCCTCGCAAGTGCAGCCGGTGGAAGGCGCATTTATGTTTCATTTCGAGACATATTTTCTGTACTCTATCTTCATTTGAGAGTATCACGTTAATTAGTTTTCACATTTTGGAACTAGCAGGTACATCGTGCATGCGAAATGGGTTCTGTGAGGCTGTGGTACAATTTGTTCCACTTGAATGAAGTAAGAATCACCATCGCCATTTTCGTTCCCAATTCACGCAGCCAGCGCTATAAGGCTTGGGACCTACGCACTCACTGCATTTCTCCTGGGTTACTTTTACGGTTCGGGTGGTGGAAGGGGGGGGGGGGGGGGGGGGGGGGTTTTTCCCCATCCCGCAGTTCTGCACTTCCAACTTGGAAGACGAAAACTGAAGATCGGAAGGGTTATTCCCCATGCTTTACTTCGGGGGGGTTAAATGGAATTACCCGCTCATAAACCCCCTGCCCTCTTCAGTAAATTACGAATTCCAGATCCTGAGGGGGCTTTTGGCTGGATGCGAGGGAAGGGGGTGAGATGGGGAACAACTGATCCTAACCGCTACGAATAGTCCTCAGTTTCTTCTGTCGCCTCCTTCTCCTCTCCACTTCCCCTTCTCCCCCCCCCCCCGAATTTTTCAAAATACCTCAGTGAATAGTACTAGGTTACGCCTCTGGTCGTAACATGGACAATTTTGCCCAGTTCTCTATGAATTTTGTGGCATACCTGTATAAACCTTTACCCACCGGAACCACGACTTCTATTTCAATATAGATTTAATCCTCCATCTCTTGGCGTCTGCGTCTTTTTCCATTACCAGTTTACCATCCTTTGATGGAAGGTGAATTCCCATCAGCTCTGAAAATAATTTTTTCTCAACTTTGAGAATTGTTTGTGCTTTCGCAATCACAGGGCACATTCCATTCCTCGTGCTGAAAGCTTTCGGAGTGTTTCTTGACAATGAAAAGAGACTCTCAGAGAAGTATTCTGCCCTTTCCACTTATGTGGTTAGAATGAGCGTGGAATGAGCGACATCATTGCTACAGGTGTGAAATTCTCCTGCAATTCTCCTTCGCTTCTTATTCATGGGCTTGCGTGATTCCTTCTCCTTGCTTGGGTTGGTTTTCAGTGTTGACTGGATCGGGGTCTGATGTAGGTGAAATGCTGACCTCTTTTGAGAAAGAAAATAGGAATACTTAGTATCGAATCCCGCGAAAAGGATCATGTCGCAGCCACGAGAGACTTCCAGTTCGATACCATTCCTACTGCGAAGGCGCATGGAGATAAAAACTTTCCAGAAGTAGAACCGACCCAAAAAGAGGTGGGAGTGGCCTTATCAAAACTAATATTTTCTCGAAAAATGACGAGAGAGAATTAATCCAAAAGGAAATACAAATAAATAATGTATTAAAAGGAGGGTATACATTTTTTTCGGAGGGAGTTCACAGAAGAATTGTTGCGGAGAAATTCTTAACAGATGAGGAAATGCAATTTTGTAAGAGTAGATACGCACTTAACGAACGAAAAAGTTGGAGTGGGAACGAACATGGCATCTACCCATGCTCCACGACCCGTTCAATGGTTATCACCTGAGGAGGAACACAAACCACGTACAGCATCACGCAGCCCCCGCCTCTCCCCCCCGGACTAGAGGTCTAAAGGGGACAAACAAGGAAAACATATTCATAGCCGGGCTTGAAAGATAACTGCATTGGGTTCGGCGGGAAGGATGACCAAGCTATCGTTTCAAGAAGCAGTGGCATCTCAGCAAAGCATTTTGCCCCACGGTAAACCCGGAGCTGTCCCTGGAACTCCGAAGGCAAAGAACGAGCCTCCGGCTATTGGTCAACGACGCCCCACGTTCGTGACGTCATCTACATAACATAGAGTCCCCGATTGAGCATACAATCATCCTCACCGATCCCCACCAAATATAAAGTTTCGAAAGGAATGGTTTCGACGATCATAAAGGAAGGCTTGAAATGAGTTCCAGTTAAGGTGTGGCGAAGCAGACGGGTCCGTGAGTTGGAGAGAAATTTTCCCACAGTCCGAACTGGAGCGTAGGAATACAGGCAACCA